GGAATTCTATTACGGTTCTTTGCTTTCTTGCCGTCTACGGTCTTTAAAAATTTAAATGTAACATCAGTCGCAATCATCTGTCTTTCTGAAAGCTGTTCTTTTATTGTCCTCTCTCCTCACTAAAATTTTATTCTCTTTCACTCGCAGTATCCTCTTGCGTCTTAGTGGCATTGTCGTCTTGCTTCACGTGAAAAAAAAAAAAGAAAGGTATATATCTATCCTTTCCACTCCCTTTTCTCTCTTCACCGTCTCTCTTCCGCTGCTATCTGAAAGAGGCAACACTAACTCCACACTTCATTTCCTTTGTCCTGAATATCAACTGCTATCAGTGTAGACTCTACAGACAATTACACCAATGACAGTTAAAGATGGCCTTACACCATTAAATGACCTTACACCAATGACAAGACCTTACACCAATGACAGTTAAAGATGGCCTTGCACCATTAAATGAGACCTTACACCAATGACAAGACCTTACACCAATGACAGTTAAAGATGGCCTTACACCATTAAATGAGACCTTACACCATTAAATGACCATACACCAATGACAAGACCTTACACCAATGACAGTTAAAGATGGCCTTATACCATTAAATGAGACCTTACACCATTAAATGACCTTACACCAATGACAAGACCTTACACCAATGAGAGTTAAAGATGGCTTTACACCATTAAATGACCTTACACCAATGACAAGACCTTACACCAATGACAGCTAAAGATGACCTTACACCATTAAATGAGACCTTACACCAATGACAAGACCTTACACCAATGAGAGTTAAAGATGGCTTTACACCATTAAATGAGACCTTACACCATTAAATGACCTTACACCAATGACAAGACCTTACACCAATGAGAGTTAAAGATGGCCTTACACCATTAAATGAGACCTTACACCATTAAATGACCTTACACTAATGATAAGACCTTACACCAATGACAGTTAAAGATGGCCTTACACCATTAAATGACCTTACACCAATGACAAGACCTTACACCAATGACAGCTAAAGATGACCTTACACCATTAAATGAGACCTTACACCAATGACAAGACCTTACACCAATGAGAGTTAAAGATGGCTTTACACCATTAAATGAGACCTTACACCATTAAATGACTTTACACCAATGACAAGACCTTACACCAATGAGAGTTAAAGATGGCCTTACACCATTAAATGAGACCTTACACCATTAAATGACCTTACACTAATGACAAGACCTTACACCAATGACAGTTAAAGATGGCCTTACACCATTAAATGACCTCACACCAATGACAAGACCTTACACCAATGACAGTTAAAGATGGAGTAAAAAAATGAATTTGAACAGAAAAGAAATCAACATCTTTGACCAAGTGCTGAAAAAAAAAAAATAGTACTCTAGATAAACCAAACCAAAATAGATATTATAATCTGGAATTGGAATGAAAGCAGTGATGGTACATACCCTGAATCCATCAGAGTGGGAAATAAGTAAAGACTAAACTATTCAAATACTTCGGCGTATGGATCAGTTATAACGAATTTAGTATAAGAGAGAGAAAAAAAACTGAAAATAGAATAGGCTGCACCAGAGGTAGTTTCCCACAACACCACAAATTGCCACAAAACCAAAACATCATCCTGAAAACTCGAGACGTCGTCTTTCCGTCCATTACAAACCGTCTTCTGCGCTCTTACTCCACTAAATGTATATAGCTGATAGAGCTAGTACACCGGTTTGCAAAGTAGTACATGTCTGACGAAGATCCCGAAACCCAGTCATTTCAGATTTCATTAAGATTACGGCAATCTTTTCAGATCTAATCAGGAGTACGACAAGAAGGAAGTGACAACCCTAATCTATAATCTCTTCTTATACTATTCTATGCGCGTGTACAAGTACAGGTGGGAAGAGATGGGCATTTAAGCATTCTATAGCACACCTCCTCACCCACAAAATATACTAACAGAAAACAGCGTTGCTGCTATCTCTATCGAGGCCAGAAAATATTTTTAGATTGTAAGTATTTTTTTTTAGATAATAAATGTTTAGTGATACAAGTTTTACTAATTAACCCATAGCTGGGGGAAAGAGGGTATATGGACGTAAGTGAATATAACGAACCCAACGGGAATTGAAACTTGGCCATCCGATTAACATTTCCGAGCCATTATCCATTACACCACCCGTGCATCCAAGCTTACAGCTCCTGGTGTTCCCAAGCGGTCACCCATCTAGGTCCTGACCAGGCTCGATGTTGCTCAACTTCGATGTCCGTACGAGAATCGGTGTTTCAACGTGATTACCCATCTAGGTCCTTGACCAGGTTCGACGTTGCTTAACTTCGGTGATCGTACGAGAATCGGTGCTTCAAAGGGATAATGGCCGTAAACACATTACACCACCCGCACACCCAAGCTTACAGCACCTGGTATTCCTAAGTGGTCACCCATCTCGGTACTGACCAGGCTCGACGTTGCTCAACTTCGGCGGTGAAGGTAGCGAAGAAGAGGACGGAATGTGACACCCTTAATTGAGTGTTCTGCAGAAAGACAACTTACATCCCAATTGACGTCGGCCAGTAGATTTCTTCCCGTCTCTTTTGGTCAGGGGTCGGGTTGGCACTGACCTTAGAAAATTGAAGACAGTTTGGAGGAAGGTCAGAAGACAGTAAAATCGATGCAAGGAAGGGAATTTAACACTTGCAAGAATTATTGTCCGTCAAGAGACCTGGTCGGGCGGGGTGGGGTTGTCACTGAGTATCCTACTTGACGAACAAAAATAAACAAAAATTTTGTGCAGTCATTATCGCCCACGTCCTAAAGGGATTTGGCACATTAAAACGTTATTTTTGACGGGCACTATGCTCGTATGAGAATAGGGGTTAAATATAACAAATACGATACATTCGCATTAGTGAAAGATGTGAAATAATCGAACAGAAAGACAAACATGCTTCAAATATATACATTTATACACACATATAGCGCATATATATATATATATATATATATATATATATATATGCAAACACAGACACACACACACATATATATATATATGCAAACCCAGACACACACACACACACACACACATATATATATATATGCAAACCCAGACACACACACACACACACATATATATATATATGCAAACCCAGACACACACACACACACATATATGCAAACCCAGACACACACACACACACACATATATGCAAACCCAGACACACACACACACACACATATATATGCAAACACAGACACACACACACACACACATATATGCAAACCCAGACACACACACACACACACATATATGCAAACCCAGACACACACACACACATATATGCAAACCCAGACACACACACACACATATATGCAAACCCAGACACACACACACATATATATATATGCAAACCCAGACACACACACACACACATATATATATATATATAAGCAAACCCAGACACACTCACATATATATATATATAAGCAAACCCAGACACACTCACATATATATATATATAAGCAAACCCAGACACACTCACATATATATATATATAAGCAAACCCAGACACACTCACATATATATATATATATATATATATATATATATATATATATATATATATATATATATAAATTATAAATGTTATATATCTATATGTATCCTCTGTCATTGAAGGATCGGATGTCTAGCCACACTGATGAGCTGTGAAACAGCGAAACAGTCTCTGTGGATTATATATATATATATATATATATATATATATATATAGAGAGAGAGAGAGAGAGAGAGAAATAGAGATAGATACAAACCGAGAGAGATATGTAGATAGAGAGATACAAAGAGACAGAGATAGGCAGATAGCGACAAACAGGCAGATAGATAGAGATAAATAGAATAGATAGGGACAGGCAGACAGATGGAGACAGACAGACAGACAGACGCATAGATGGAGACAGAGTTAAATAGAGGGTGATAGAGACAGACAAACAGACATGGAGATTGAGACAGACAGATGGAGAGAGAGAGAGACAGAGAGACAGACAGATGGACAGAGAGAGAGAGACAGACAGACAGACAGATGGACAGAGAGAGAGAGACAGAGAGAGATACTATAAATGGTTTCAGGTTTTATTAAATAAGCAATCATTCTTTCCCTTGTATGCATTTGTTTCTCTTCTTTCGTCGCCATAAAAAAAAAAATGATTTTAAACAATGTTGGACGCTATGACTCAGTCGAGCAGTTTCGACTCAAACATAAAAGCGTTCATTATCTGACGACGGCCGATTGACGCGGGTGGGCAAAAAGAGGATTGAGGCAGACCTGAGAAAACACACAGCGAATGAAAAATACAAAAAGGGGAGCGTGCGTGTCAAAGCCAGAGACACAAGAACCAAAAAAAAAAAAAAAAAAAAGAAAAAAAAATAAGGAAAAAAAAAGGGAGAGTAAGGCGAGAAAAAGAGGATTGGAAGGGAGAGTTGTCAAATGGCGATTTAGTCATGGAGTCATTCGAGGAGATGACCATTTTCGGTGCTTTTTCTTGGCTGACGCTGTTTGAGAGAAGGGGAAAGGATTCGATGTTGCGTTTTGTTCTTCAAATTGTTTAATGCTTTATTTTGATATTTCAAAGTCGCTTCTTAGGGTTTCATTTTTAGTATTTCTTTGTTTTTTTTTGGGTGGGTGGGGGTGAATGGAGCTGTTTCTGTGTCACTTGTAGCCAAGGGAAATGGCCGAGAGGCCATCTGCTAGCGTCTATTGTTTCTCTTTTTTCCTTTCTCATTTTTGGGGATTGTGTGCAGAGAGAAGCATATTACGGACACATTTGTCTGCACAGAGATTTTACAAACATGTCTCGTTTAAATATGCACATTTATACTCATACTACACACACACACAGCCATATAATGTATATATATATATATATATATATATATATATATATATATATATATATATATATGTATGTATGTATGTCGTTTGAAATTTATGAGAGAGAGAGAAAGAGAGAGGAGACAGAGAGTAAGAGCGCATAATCTGCCTGGATAGAAAAAGCGAGAGAAAAGGGAGAAAGCGAGTGAGAGAGAAAAAGAAAAAGAGAGAAAAGTGAGAGAAAAGGAGAAAGAGAGAGAAAAAGACAAAAGGGAGAAAGGAGAGCGAATGGAAGAAACAGAGAGAGGTGAGAGAGAGAGAGAGAGAGAGTAAACCGGCATAATATCGCTGGATCAAGTTTTGAACAGGGCCAGTACGCATAAATTCTCGGTCATGATGACTTGTACCATCGTGCTGCTTGCGAACAATTTCGCCTATCTTATCCAATTTCACACAAAAAAGGCTTGGATCAACCGTCCATACTGAAATTCGAACCTGGGCCTCATGGTCGGAACACTATAATATTTTCACCATGAGGCCTGACATAAGATTGTAACATTTAATCATACATGCATACAGAAAAACCGTTGTTTTTTAACCCCTAAACAATGAGATAATTATAAAATTTTACTTATATTATTTACATTATTCGGAGTGTTATCCTCATCTTCATTGCCATATTCACAACGTGTCGGCCGTTGTACACTCCGGCCTTCTTCAGGTTACTGGAATTTCGAACTGAACCCTTTACTTCGTCCACCGGGGGTGGGGGGTAGATTGTTCTAGTTCCACGTGCCATGCCTCTTCCTTATTTCCATTTAACTCCAAGTTTTTTGGTTCACCACTGCTGTAGCCTGGTATTGAACTCACAACTCTTTGGGTCTAGTTACTGGATCTAACCAACGCCTTTATCCACAGGGTCATATCTTCTCGAGGGTTCCGCTTGAAATTCGAATCACCTGAAGAAGGCCCGAGCGTAAAAACGGCCGAAACGTTGTGAATATGCCAATGAAGATGAGGATAACAGTCCGAATAATGTAAATAATGTAAGTAATCATAATCCCTCATCTCAGAGATATAGACAGATGCTGAAGAAGGCCCGAGCGTAAAAACGGCCGAAACGTTGCGAATATGGCAATGAAGATGGGATAACAGTCCGAATAATGTAAATATCATAATACCTCTTCTCAGAGATATAGATAGATATTATAAAATTTTATCTAACTGTTCAGCAATTAAATAAAGTAATTTTCAAAGCTCGTTTTAGAAATCTTGAACAAATATTTTAGGCCCGCCATTTAATTAAAATATGCTTGCGCACACAGAACGAAACTGAAATGGAAATCTATATAGCGAGACCTATTTTCGCTTTCTGTCTGCCAACAAACTATGGATAACAGGAAAAGAGTAGAAACTGGGTCTTTCAGGTCATTTTTATTTTATTCATTTATTTTTTTCAATCAATTCACCCCAAGCAAGGCGATAATGCTACCAAGACGTAAGGGCTTACTGGGATTGAAAGTGAGTGAAAAGACTTTAAAGTTACCGGGTACGCAATTCTAAACAGGAAGCAATGGATAAACATCTACACCTGTTCAAAAGGCCGAGGAGGAGTGTGAACCGGGTGATAGGCGATGGTATCTTTCCCTATTGATGAAAAAAAAAAAAAAACTACTCCTGATGAGGAAAAGCAAATAAATAGTAACATTTCAGAGTTCAGGCGGAGACGTTAAAAGTATACAGTTGAAGTAAACACCCAATCCTAAACAGGAAATAAGGGATAAACCTCTACACCTGTTCAAAAGGCCGAGGAGGAGTGTGAACCGGGCTGTAGGCGAACCTATCTACTCCGATTGAGGTAGATAAATAAATAGTAAATAAAATGGCAGAGTTCAGGTGAAGAGGTTAGAAGTACAGAGTTGAAGTAGAACGAAGCCACTAACACGCAAGTTGGGGTAGGGTAGCCACTGGGACTGAAAGAGAAAAAAAAAAAAAACTTCAGAGGGAACCGGAAACCCAATCCCAAACGGGAATTAAAGGATAAACCTCTACTGCTGTACAAAAAATCGGGAGGAGTGTGAGCCGAGCGATAGGCGAAGCTATTTGCTCTTATTTAAACTGAATACTCTTGTCCGTTATATTTAACGGAAAAAAACAGGTTGAAAATAATAAAAGAGTAAGTTAACTCTTAAGAAATCGTAGCTTAAGACATGATAGTGCAGCGCCAAGCGAGTAAGGCCTGTCTACTGTTGTTACTGAATGGGGAATAGCCAAAATGGAGGTTGGAAATGAAATGGTAATCTTTATAACATCAACAAAATACAATACTCGCCAGCGACGTGAAATAGGTAAACAACTGCTAGTGGTGAACAACTTAGCATATTACCCCCACTCCACTTACAATGGTGTCCAACGTATTTATGAGGATTCGGACATACCCATTAGTGTTCATGGGTGCGGTATATAACATCTACATGCCTCAGAGGAGGGAAAGGAGCGTTTAAAATAAATGTAGTTGCCTGGACTCATATCCCGATGACCGGTGCCTCACGAGGCTAACAATCCAAAGGCACTTTTTTTTTCTTTATTTTCACAATGATTTCCCGCCTGCAAAAGGCTCAAGAGCCACTCGAGGTAGAGGGCTACAGAATAAGTGGGACCACTCCAAGCAAGGTGATAATTTTACCAAGACGCAAGGTGTGGCGCTGGGTGGGGTGGCACCAGGAATGAAAGAGAAGGGGAAAAGATTTTAAAGGAAACCGGAAAACCCAAATCTTAAAGAGGAAACAAAGGATAAACCTCTACTCCTGTTCAAAGGACCAGATAGGAGTGTGAACCGAACGATAAGCAAACCTATCTACTCCCGTATCATGACTAAGTGTAGACAGCAATTTTCTGCCCCACCCAAAAAAAAAACAGGACGTCTATTCAAACATGTGCAACCACTAAATATAACGCTAACCGTAAGAGGAAATAACTTGCTTAAAAATGGTCGTTTACGTTTCGGGTACATCTATTTTTAAACTTAGCACAGATATAGACTTCAAAGGATTTCAACGAGGAATGTGCATTTTGTGATCAGGATAATTGAACACTGCTTTACATTGTGGGCTTCTCGTGGCTTAATATCAACGCTCGCTTAGCTTGAAAGCGATTTCTCGGATTAAAAAAAGGAAAATTATTGTTCATCGTAATAAGAACGCCGAATCTTCAAACGCATGCCCGTAGGGCAATAGCTAACATGCTTCTTATGGAAGCAGTTGCCATTATAAGGAAATATTTAACCTTAATTGACCGAGCATTTAGACTTGCTGTTGGCTTGAATTTAGAAAATACTTCTCTTAAAACAATTTTTCATGAAAGTAGGTCTCTCAAGTCCAGTGGCTGTTAATGCCTTTTCCAGTTTCGATCCTCATTGGGAACTCTGTGACCATCATTTTCTCTCAAAAACATAGAGACGCACACATTTGTTCAACTGTGTACACAAGCGGTTCTGATGAACAAAGTTATAGAAAAAAAACAAACAACTTCTTTTTATGAATCATTGATCGTAAATTCTGCACAGCTGCCCTCGACATGCACTGTAACAGCCAAACATGTCTATGTGCAGTGGAGGGAGAGGTGAGCTTCATGAATCAAGGGAAACCTGCACGCGCCCGTGGGTAGCCATGTGCGCAGAGATCTGCCCACGCACCACTGCGGAACCTTCCCTACATCAACGCAAATGTTTAGCCTCTGATGTGGGTACATCGCACAATGCGCGCTGGATTTTGCTGAGCGATACAACTTAAAAACAAAAAAAAAAAAATGTATGTGGGCCGCCGGCTGCAGAGTGATGGTTAACAAGCCAGTCTCGGTTGAATTTTTGCTTAACATGAAAGTTCGATCCTCACTACAGTCACTTTTGACAGGTGAAAATAAGCGTAGTATATATGTTCAAAGTGTGTGCAGAAAGGCGGTGATCTTCGAGGAAAACTTCACTTGCAAAAAAATTGATTCGCACTGGGTGCCATTCACAGGTTGTGCACTTAAAAAAAATAGAATGGCGGCATAAGAGAAATGGGAAAAGAAAGAGGAGAGCAAGAAAGTAGACGAGAAAGAAGGAGAGCAAGAAAGGAGACGAGCAAAAAAGAAGGAGAGCAAGAAAGGAGGCGAGAAAGAAGGAGAGCAAGAAAGGAGACAAGAAAGAAGGAGAGCAAGAAAGGAGACAAGAAAGAAGGAGAGCAAGAAAGGAGGCGAGCAAGAAAGGAGGCGAGCAAGAAAGGAGAGCAAGAATGAAGGAGAGCAAGAAAGGAGACAAGAAAGAAGGAGAGCAAGAAAGGAGACAAGAAAGAAGGAGAGCAAGAAAGGAGACGAGAAAGAAGGAGAGCAAGAAAGGAGACGGAAAGAAGGAGAGTCCAAAAGTGACGCTAAAAAGAAGAGCACAAAAGTGACGCTAAAAAGGAGAGCACAAAATGGACGCTAAAAAGGAGAGCATAAAACAGATGGGAATAAGAAGTAAAACAAGACGACAACAAGATTGGTTACAAAAAAGACGATAAGAAGTAGTGAGGTACAGGCTAGACAAGAAGTCGCAAAAGAAAGAAGGTTTGAAAAAAAAGCAAAAGAATACATCAGTGTGATGATTAATTACAGAAATCATTGCCTCCTCAAGGTTCCAATTTGACTTCAATGAAGAGAACAACGATTAAAAATGTTGATGAAAATAATAATAATAATAACAACAATAATAATAAAACCACTCCCACCATCAACATCATCACAGATGAAATACATGCAGTTAGTGAGTTCTTTATGGAAGCCGTTTCATAGCATGTGCAGGATACGACGTGTTTCCGTGACAAGGTCTGTTGTTCCTCATCAATTTTCTGAATAAATAATACATCACAACGGTCTTTTGTTGTTTAAGAGCCCCACTCATCGGCTCATTAACTGCATATTATTCAATCAAAAGTAAGGTAAAGACGGCAAAAATCAATAATTCAAACACTTTTTTTTTTTTTATTAAGTGAGTCAGTTAGCAAGCCTACGCTCGAGTCTTGAATAAAATCGGGGTTGGACATTGTTTGGTATCACTTACATAAATAGGCCCACTGATTAAAAAAAAAATCACCAAAAAACAACAAAAAAATATGGAATTTTTTTGATGGGGGGGTGGGAAGGAATAAAAATAATTTTTGTAGATGTTTTTAAATGTTCCTTAAACCGTGACATTTTTCAAAATCGAAAAATGTTGATTTAAAAAAAAAAACATTTTAGAAGGATGGTTCCGTTTATAATATCGATCCGTTAAATAATATATGGTCAAAAATCGATCACAGACTTTTACAGAGTCATCGGGAAATTAGTTGTTCGTTTACAAATATCAAGTTCGAAAGTGTACTAACGTCAATGATATCTGCACACACACAATAAAAAAAAAATACTTTTACGAAAAGATTTATTTAAATGAACAACCGGGTATACCCAGTTCCAATCAAAGAACTACAATTTGCATAAATTAACAAAATATCGACACGTTATTTAGATCCTAATTTTCTCGTTATATATTGACTTCAGTATTCTTTCTGACTTTTGTGGAATAAAAACTATTTTCAAGCTAATTAAAAGGCCAATTCTTTTTTTTTTTTTACAAAAATGAACGTCTAAGTTTCTAAAATTAAAATAAGTAAAATAGATTTCATTTTATTTTCTGTATCATTTTAAAAACAATTTATGATCAATCTGACTCCACTTAAACTGTTTATTTTGTTTCACATTGGACAGAAAGCTACAATCGTTGCATACGTTCCTATCGCAATTACTACAGATAAGTCTACTTTACACTCAGGTGTTTGTCATTCACAAAAATATTAGGTTGTCACACAGGAAATGACGCACTTTATAGGAAATGAATAAAACGCTTATGAAATGTCAAATAACTAATTTATTAGGTTGAAATAGTCACCATGTTGATGAATGTACCTCTAAATTCTTGATCCCATCTTTAAAAAAAAATCTCATCCTTTGATGTGATAAACAGTTCTAAAGCTTCGATTACCTCTTCCTTATTTACATTATTCGGACTATTGTCCTCATCTTTGTCGCCATATTTATCACAACGTTTCAGCCGTTGTACGCTCCGGGCTTCTTCAGGTGGTTTGAATGTCGAACTGAACCCTTTATTTCGCTCACTGGGGTAGACTGTTCTAGTTCTACGTGCCATGTTTGATGGATGTCAGCTATCAGTTATCTCCCGTTAATTTTCCCTCTGAAAGTTATCCACTGCCTTAACCGGGTATTGAACTCACACTCTTTGGGTCTTGTCACTGGATCTAACCAACGCCTTTATCCACTGTGCCATGTGTCATTGAGGCGACAAATATGGCGACAAAGATGAGGACAATAGTCCGAATAATGTAAATAATGTACATAATACCTCATCTCAGAAATATAGACATACCTCTTCCTTATTGAAAATTTTTTTTTATTGCGTATGAAAAGCTCAAAATGCTTAAATAATCAATAGTGGAGATATCAGGTGAATATGGAGGATTAGACAACATTTCATAATTCAGGCCAAGCAGTTTTTCTAGACAGTTGATTGAGAAGCGTGTGGCCGTGCAGCAAAATTGGGCCATCCATATTCACAAGCTAGGATGTTTCTTTTTCAATTTTTCGTGCATATACTCAGTTTCTCCACGATGCGAGGTTGCTGTTATTGTTTTCCCTTGAGGCGAAAATAAATAATCAATAACCCCTTTGAAAGACCACCATACAGTAACTATTAACTTTTTAGGGTGCAGTGGAGGTTTTGGGTATTGTTTTGGTGATTCACTTGCATCTGACCATTGGCCTACCCCCCCTTACTGTCGCGAAAGAGTATCCATCATCGTATGCAATGATTCGATGCAAAAATGGTTCTTCCCCCCCCACCCAGTAAGATTATTCGACATTGTTTCATTGTAATCATTTTCATTGGGCTTCTGAGTAAAAAATATATTGAAAGAAAAATTGTCTGGAAAGAAAAAGTGTCAGAGATAACTCAAGATTTTCTTTTTATATACTAAGGAAGATATGGATTCATGCCTTTCCCAAGGATATTTGCGTGTCAGTGAATATAACGAACGCAAATACAATTGGTTCTCGGCTCTTCGATTAACAATTAAAAACCGTTATTCATTGCTCCACCTTCACATCCAAGCTTTCACCACCTGGAATTCCTAAGCCGTCACTGATCTAGGTACTGACCAGGCTCGACGCTGCTTAACTTCGGCGATCGTATGGGAATCGGTTTTTCAATGCAATGTGGCCGTAAGTGTTTATGGGATGGAGCTTCGCGCCCAATGCCCAACCTGTTCTGAATTCAACGGCGTCCTTCTAGAGTAGCGGCCAATCAAAACTAAAGAGCCTAGTGTGCTCTGCTATTTAACCCATAGCTTTGGGGGGAAGAGATTGATTAAAACGCTTTCCGATTGATGTTTGCGCGAAAGCGAATGTAAAAGAACACGGTTCACCTATTTTTTTTTATTTTTTAATTCTGAGTCGCTAACCATTGCCCTACGCGTACGTCCTTTAGATAACATCAAGAACGCCAAAGGAGTTCCACTGTCCGAATTTATAGCGTTAATAATCTTCTCAAAGTTACCGACACGATATCAACTCGTTGAAGGTAATAAGTTAATATTACCTCCAGTCTACGCCCACACCCCAACCACAGCGTGAGTCAAGATGAGAAACTGACATTGGGGACAAACTTGATTCTTTATTCAACAACTTGATACTTGCCTTGCATCGAAGTTGGCTTCGATCAAGGAAAGTTGAAATTAATATTAAGCTCAAATCTCAGAGTGGTGATGGGGGCCTGGGAAGAGGCATCCCTTCCAGGCAGTAACTCTTCTTCGGGATCGGTCTACGGTCATTACCCGGCGCCTGAGGTGCTCCGAAAAGGGGAAGTTCCCTAGTGGCTTGAGCAATTTTTTTTTCCACGGTGTGGCCGTTAGACCAAGTTTAAACTGACTTTGTGCCACTTTCGGTAGCGATGGGGGCACACAGAAAAATTCACCCCACCCAACAACTTTAAAAACGTGCATTTGTTGCTCGGTAGAGTGTTGTGTGTGTGTGTGTGTGCGTGGATGAGGGGTGGGGTGGGGGGTTAAGTGAGGGCAAGCAGTTGCTTTAATTTTTGACAAATTCCATCAGAGGCTGGGTGATTTTTTTTTTCTGAAGGTGTTTTGTTAAATCGATTTTTGAAACGCATGCGCAGTGTCGAAAAAAAAAATCACATGACATTAATTAAAAAAAAAAAAATAAAACATTCCTAATAGGAAAGATGATATAATAAAAAAAAAAAATTAAGAACGTTTAAGATAGTCGAAAAATCTCCTTTCCCAAAAATATGACCCCCCTCACAAAAGTTTTTTTTTGTTTTTTTTTTTATTTTGTTTTTAATAATTAAGCTTAAAAATCAAATTGCTCCCTAGCGTGAATAATCCAGCAATTCGAGATTTTAGGGAATCTGTTCTTAAATTGAAGAACCCGGAAGTAGTTTTTATTGCAGGAACTCAAAAAAAAAAAAAGGTTGCCGGAAGGTTATGGAATGTTCTCCTCCCTTGTATTGTTGACCCCTTTTTCTTTTTCTTTTTTACTCACCACGCAAAAAAAAAAAAAAAAAAAAAAAAAAAAAGAAAGAAACGACTTGCTGTTGGTGAGAAGTCCTACTTTTACCTCCCTGGATAAACAAGATGGTCTTTTACAAATATATCGACTCTAAATAATCCCAGACATCAGGGAATTTAACCCCTTGCCTCTACGTGCAGTTGGGAGGTGCTGCTTAGCGGACGACACCCTTGCCGGAGAGAGAAATAACTTGACCAGATAAAATTAAGTTTATTAAGAAATTTCTTCTCTCGCAGTTTTCCCCTCTGGAACTCTCTTCCGGCTCCCTGCTTTTCCGCCATGTGCAAAAGTTTAAATGCAACGTCAATCGCTATCTACTGTCCTCCTGATTACTCTTTCCTCTTCCCGCTCATTAGTAATGTTTCTGTTCCTAAATCTCCTACACCATTGCAACCCCTTGTGTTTTAGAGGTTTCACTACCTTACGTGAAGTGATACCGAAAAAAAGAAATGAAATATATATAATTTTTCCATATAATTTTTGTTGATTTGATTAAAAAAAAATGTTCGGTCCATTGTATTCGCAGTAAATATGAAAGCAACGCCAAAATTCTAGAGAGAATAAACCAAAACAATATGGCACTTAACATCAGGAAGATACAGGCGAGGTTTTCTGGGATATATAATGAGGAAAGAAGGCTTGGAAAATTTGATACTCACAGGGGAGATACAACACACAACATACCTGGCGAGCTTGAGTAAATGGATGGCGGAGTAGGTTATGGGAGAGATGGCAACAAGATAAAGGTTATTTACAGCTACAAAGGACAGGAAATAGTGGAGAGCCATGATTGTCAACACCCTGAAGGGACATGGGAGATAAAAGAATAAACTTGAGTAAATGGTTGCCAGAAAAAGGTTTAGGAGAGATAACAAAAAACAAAAAAAAAGTTTATTAAGAGCTACAAAGTAGAGGAAAATGTGGAGAGCCATGATCGTCAACACCCTGAAGGGACATGGGAGATAAAAGAACAAACTTGAGTAAATGGTTGCCAGAAAAAGGTTTAGGAGAGATAACAAAAAAAAAAAAACAAACAAAAAAACGAAAAAAAAAAAAAAAACAGTTTATTAAGAGCTACAAAGTAGAGGAAAATGTGGAGAGCCATGATCACCAACGTCCTGAATGGAGGAGAGATAACAAAATTTATAATTAATTAAATTTTAATTTATTAACGGCTACAAAGGACAGGAAATTGTGCAGAGCCAAGAAGATTAAAAAATAAATTCAATTTTCCAATCAACCTCCAGATAGCATATCCGAGAAACTCAGAGTTGAAAAGATAAGTTGAATATTTAATGTGATTTTTTTTTTTGTATTAATGCTATGTTTGTTGTTATTACGATAATTCAATAAATAAAATCCTATACTCGATTTACGAGTTGAAACTGAGAGGATGATGGGGGGTGGGGGAACAGGCCCCAAGCGGCACATTTTGCCATTATAGGCAAGAGAAACCTGGCAAGGATTTGGGTGTGGTCGAATAGTATTTTTTTTTTTGCCTATTGTCTCAACATCAATTAGGGGACGGGGCCGAAGTGGGTTGGATGACGGAAATAGCGTTTTGCTCAGTGGATGGGATGTGCGTGTTACAGCCCAAAGATTGGGGAGTGATAAGGGTAAAGGTTTACCCTTCTTTGTTAGGCAGAAACAAACGAATTTGCACTCATTGAAAAGAAAACAAAATCGCAGAGCAGACCTGACTAAATTCCATGGACTATCCTCTTACCAAATTTACTAATATATTATGAAATGGACAAAGTCCGACAATTATTTTAAGACATTTTTATGTTTTAACATTCTTTTTATAGATACAAGTATTTAAGTAAATGCTCTGTTTTATAATAAACAGTATTAACAACATTTACCAGCCTGAATGTCCGAGAAATTTTCACAGAAAATATTTAATACTGTTCAAAGTTAATATTATTAAGTGTTTTTTTTTTTTATTAATAAGGCTTCCATTATTTTTAGCCTTTTTTTTTTTTTGCATGTAGATAATGCTATTAGATTAGTCTTGTCAACAAGTATGTTCCGAATAGTGTCCGGTAGGTCTCCATGAATATTTAAATGAGATCTAACTGAGCTATGGTCAGAAAGGTGTAGAGTGAGTCTGCGTGTTTTATCATCCGGAAAGAAAAAATTATTAGATCGCATGAGAAATTGTATAAAAAACTAATTAAAAGCACCTTGTCTGTCGTTTTTAACGAAATGTGCACACACACACACACACACACATATATATATATATATATATATATATGTGTGTGTGTGTGTGTGTGTGTGAAAATATATAGAAAATAGAAAGGAACTGGTTAGGTAAATAATCCAAAGTCCCTTTTCGCCCTAGTTGTTACCATGGAAATTTCAGAAACACGTTATTCCAAAAAATTTCGCTTGAAGATGGAACAGAGCTTATTTTAACTCAATTTAATTTAAATAATTTAAATAATTATATTGAAGTTTTCAGCTCTTGTTTTGAAACATGGGACTTCTTATGTCGCGATTTGGAATCATATTTTTTAAATAAATAATTATATATATATATATATATATATATATATATATATATATATATATATATATGTGTGTGTGTGTGTGTGTGTGTGTGTTTTAACCCTCAAACAGCAGCTGAAAACTGTGTTTAGTAAGACATCTTTTAAGCCCAAACCAGATCCTTGGATCTGGACTGAAGTTGTGACAGGACGGAGGCTCTAAACGGGAAATTGAAATTAAAAGATAATGAGAAGCGTAAATGAGTAATATGCTGTCAAGTTAAGGCGTGGCGGGTGCAGCAGATCTTCAGTGCCAAACTGATGCAAACGTGACGTCTCGCCCCCAATTAATAACGTGGTAATTCAGTCGATTTCGCCTTTGTTTCTCTTCCCCGACCTCACAGCCCAAATTTACCTGCTTGATCCATTTTAGCATTCTTTTTTGTCTCTCTGTCTACAAATCCATTTGATGAGTTGATTAAATCGGATTTACAAGCAGGCAGATGGGTGTTAGATTAAGCCTAATGTTTACCATTTCAGTTCGGTATAACTTCACTGATGGCAAAATGATCAAGTTTCAAATCAAGACTATTTCTCCAATTTAAAATATTGCATCTATTCGAAAATACAGGGTGTACCTCAAAACTTGACATCATTTCGCAGGCCAATAATTTTGGCTATTCTTGCTGAAATAACCTCAAACTTTTCACAGAATGTATAGAAACAGATCAAGATGTTTGTCTATATTTCTGGGATGAGGTATTATGTGCACTATTTACATTATTCAGACTATTGTCCTCATCTTAAATATGGCGACAAAGATGAGGACAATAGTCCGAATAATGTAAATAGTGTAGATCAAGATTTTATATTTAATGTTTTATTTTTGCTATCTCAATGAGAATCTGCCAGAGAGATGGATCGGGCGTGGTGGAGATGAAGACAGTTTTCTGATGAAATGGCCGCCGCGGTCACCGGACCTGTCCCCGTGTGAATTCTTTTTATAGGGATATGAGAAGGGACTTGTCTATCGCCCCACCCCTCTTCCTGCTAGCGTTGATGAACTCAAGCAGAGAATCACTTCCGTACTGGATAATGTTACCGGTGACATGCTACAGCGTGTTTGGCAAGAGCTTAACGACCGACTTGACGTGTGCCGTGTCACAGGCGGTACACATATGGAACACTTATCAAATCGGTCTCATAATAAACTTAGGATGTTCAACACCTAAACTGTTCAATTTCATTGAGCTAGACTTAGTAGTTTTTTCAAGATAATTGCTTTTAAAATGATTTCAAATTTAGGAGGAGACCCTGTATATACTCAGTTTAAATACAGAAAGGTGTATAGAAATTATATTTATCTTTGTATATATGCAAAAAATGTGGCACAAGGCCAAAAGGAGGGATAGGGGAAAGGCTGATCATCAATCAGTCTTATCTTAAACTTAGATAGCCACGATTACTGACCCAAACATACCACAGTATTCCTTACACCACAACCCATTGTTTCTTACTACACTCACCATAATACCTCGAGTCTCTATGAAGTCCTAACTAGTCCCCATATGTACAATTTGTCTGGTGGGAAGGGGGAATAAAATAACAAGTAGAAATGACTTCAAAGAGACGCACATTTAAGCTTATATACATTTCCTGTTACCCAGGGGTTGTTGCCGGGCAAGAATGGAAATTAAACCCTCTCGACACAGATACTGATTCCATTCAAATTGCGTGCGCGTGTATATTTTAAGTCGATGACAGACCGAAGATATTTCTAAAAAAAAAAAAATAAAATAAAATAAAATAATAAGCTAATCCACGAAATTAGTAATAAGAATTTTATAATTATTTTATTTTTTTTTTACCGTTTTTGCTTCTAGTTTCCAATTTCATGATGTTATTACTCCGTCCAGGGTAAGGGTTGTCCAGACTGAGTGAGAAAGTAATGTATTATTCCAGTGACATTTCAAACTCAGTCAATCTGTGTGTGTGTTGGGGGGGGAGCGTTAAAATTACACAAGCACACACAGGTCACCCAAACAAAACAGACAGGTCCACCATCCGCGATAGTAGCACCTGTTAGGGTCCCAGCTATGGGTAAATAGTTAATATGAAAGTATAAAAATAGAGTGTGAAAGAGAAAGAGTGAGTGAGTGTGAAAGAGAAAGAGTGGGTGAGTGTGAGAGAGAGAGAGAAAGGGAAAGAGTGAGAGAGAGAGAGAGAAAGAGTGGGAGAGAGAGTGTGAGAGAGAGTGTGAAAGAGAGAAAGAGTGTGAGAGAGAAAGAGTAAGTGTGTGAGAGAGAGAGTGTGTGTGTGTGAGAGAGAGAGAGAGAGAAAGAGTGAGTGTGTGTGTGTGTGAGAGAAAGAGATAAGAGCATGAATGGAATTGTAACGTACAATAGAAGTTTGATGAAGGCGGAGAAATGAATAAAAACGGAAGAAAGCGACGTGAGCTTTGAAGTAAAGATGGCGTCTGTGAAGAGAAAACAAAAGACGGCGGGAAAAGATAAAAGCTTAGAAAAATAACATGGAGTCGAAGCGAGAGAGAAATAAGAAAAAAAAGAGACATATCCTGTCTCTTACTAATTACAGGTGCACATCTCTTGGGACAGGTGTTATGTAGGTGTTTGGACGTCTACCTTTGTGCCTTTTCCCGCCCTGCCTCTGACTATACGTCCCAATCATTCATCAACAGGCTTCTGTATCGTATCTTTCCAGCAAGCAGAAAAAAATAACACCTGGTAGCGGGCTTAAATACAGATATTCTATGTACCACAGTTATCTGTATTTAGAATTGTATTTTTTTTAAATCAATTCACCCCCAAGCAAGGCGATAATGCCTCTAAAAACAAGGAGCTACTGTAGGTGAAACAGAAGTAAAAGACTTTAGAAGGAACCGGAAATTCGATTCTAAACTGCAAACAAGGGATAAACCTCTGCACCTGCTAAAAAGATTGGGGAGGATTGTGATTTTCCATGATATAAAAGAATACGAGACAAAAAAAAAAAAAAAATAATAGAAAGACAAATAGCAAGGATAATATACAGGATATGGCAGTAGTTGTATGACCTATCTCCGAATCTGATGTTCCTGCCAAAGGGAGGAGAATACGTTTATATTATAAGTACTCCCTCCTTGTCAAGGTTCATTATGAGTTTAAAATACGATTTACGGGATATGATAGGTTACAAGAGTTTTGCAAAGATGCTTGGCGCCTATCACTTCGGTAGATGATACGCCTGTGGACGAACTCCTAATTGAGTTGATGTTAGTAAATGACTACAGTCTATGGATACCAATGGAGGAGATCTATCTCTGCCTACGACGAGGAAGGTGGCCGGCCATCTGCGTCAGTCACGCCAAGACGGCAAGGAAAGTAGCCGGCCATATCAATCCGGCTCTCCGGCACGGCGAGTAGGATAGCCGGTCGTCTTAGTTCGGCTCTTCACTACGGCGAGGAAAGTGGCCGGCCATCTCAGTCCGGCTCTCCGCTACGGCGAGGAAAGGTGACGGCCATCTCAGTCCGACTCCCCGCTACGGCGAGGAAAGGCGACGGCCATCTCAGTCCGACTCCCCGCTACGGCGAGGAAAGGCGACGGCCATCTCAGTCCGACTCCCCGCTACGGCGAGGAAAGGCGACGGCCATCTCAGTCCGACTCTCCGCTACGGCGAGGAAAGGCGACGGCCATCTCAGTCCGACTCTCCGCTACGGCGAGGAAAGGCGACGGCCATCTCAGTCCGGCTCTCCACCACGGCGAGGAAAGGCGACGGCCATTTTAGTCCGGCTCTTCACCGCGGCGACGAAAAGCGACGGCCATCTCAGTCCGGCTCTTCACAGCGGCGAGGAAAGGCGACGGCCATCTCAGTCCGGCTCTCCACCACGGCGAGGAAAGGCGACGGCCATTTTAGTCCGGCTCTTCACCGCGGCGACGAAAAGCGACGGCCATCTCAGTCCGGCTCTTCACAGCGGCGACGAAAGGCGACGGCCATCTCAGCCCGGCTCTTCACCGCGGCGACGAAAGGCGACGGCCATTTCAGTCCAGCTCTCCACTATGGCGATGAAGGTGGCCGGTTATCTCCTCCGTATCCATTACGTGGAGCGGGTTGCGTCTCTCTGTCCCATTCTCATGCTGGTGGATCTATGTTATCCGTCTTTATTATTGGTGGGGGTTTTATAGCTAAAAGGGAATCAAATGTAGGGGTCCGTTCGATAGTCTTAGAAAGTTACCGAATGCGACAGACAAACTGAGAACTGATGGCGAGTAGAGCGACTAAAAAAACGGCAAGAAGGAACAAAAAAAAAAAAAAAACTAGTCCAACAGAATCAATGTACAGACACCACTGAAAAGACAAGAAATATAAGGAAACGGATTCAAAATTACAGGTAACAATAACTCTTCTTATAAATTTAAACTGAAAGAAGACCGGAGAGTTAAAGCGGTCGAAACGATGTGAGATAATAACAGAAAGGAAACGGGTCCAGAAGAATCATTTCGTTTTAATTACTGCATTCAACCACTGTGTAAAGCTGACACTTTAAAGAGCAACAGGCATGTATTTTTCTGTCAAAGAAGCGTTAAATTGAATTATTGCTGCTTGATCAATAAACGAGATCAGCTTCCATTTCTCCTCCTACCGATTTATATTTGAGAAGACGGTGCCCCCTTTTTTTTGCGAGCAGGTGAGAGAGAAACGGAGTTTTGTAATCAGAAGACACCCGTTTAATCAAATCCGAAATTTTTCATTCATTTTTTTATTTTTATTTTTTCATAAGTTTTTTTTTTTTACTTGCTTAACTAAATATTTCAACCAAAGTATTTTGCATTGAAACTGTTTACGTGATCTTCATAAAACTATCAGTCTGCGAATAGAAAATAAAATTAACACACACATTATATATATACATATATATATTTGTGTATATTTAGGCAGCAATTTTTCATTAATGCACGTTTCATTAAATAATATGGACAAGTTTTGTCTATTTATTTTAAGTAGGTTCCTTTCATATTGTCTGATAAGCTTAATAACATTAATAATATCATTGAAAGACTAAAGAAAATACCATATGTTTAAATCCAGTTTAAGCTTTCGCCTTACATAAGCCATTATCAAAGATGACAATTACATTTCAATATATCAAACAACACACGGACGAAACAATAATGATAGTCTGTTTTTGTTGCATGAAACATTTCAAAGCAACGACAAACTCGTGTATACGAGACGCGGAAGCGAAAATCGCGTCGCAGCTTTTGACGTCACACATGACCACTCGAGAGTGAAAACGAGAAGTATTAAGTATGGAAAGCCGTTGGTATTTAAACAGGTATCAATGTATGGTGATTTCCTTTCGTCTTTCAATGATAATGTGATTAAGCTTAGACAATATGAAAGCAACTTACTTAAAATAAATAGACAACACTTGCCTATATTATTTAATGAAACATGCATTAATATATATATATATATATATATATATATATATATATATATATATGGTACCTCCACTTTTTCGCTGAAACCACCCCCCCAAAAAAAACAAAATAAAAAACAGCAGAGCATGATGAAAATAAGGCCCCAATCTTAATAAAAACAAAGTAAAAATGTTTGTTATTATTAAGAGGAAAGACCAGAATATTTTCAAATTAATTTTTTAAATCCTTTCTAGCACGTTCAAAATTTTGGTTAAAAATCTTTGTTTTTTTTTGTTTTTGTTTTTGTGTTAATGGCCGACATAATATTTACGATTCGTGTTTTAGCGCCTTTTTTCCCGGTGAAAAACATTGATTTGGAAATGATTGCAAAAATCAAATAAATATCAAATGTTAATGAAATTTTCATGACTTATTTACAAAGGAATGAAATTAATTTTGAAATTTTTTGTTTTAGAAAACACTGTTAAAATCTTTTTTGACATATATTCCAGACTTAATTTCATGAAATTTCAAGAAATTAAATTTTCGTCCGAAATTTTTTTATTAGTTAAAAGGAGGACTCTTTAAAGAATGTAAATCATCAGTTTTTTTTTAAAACTGCTACTCATTTCCCGAAAATCTGCTCCGAATCTTAAAATAAAAAATTCAATAAAACTGATATTATTTAAATAACTTTTAATTGCTTTTATAAATAAGATTCATTAAGGACACTATTGTCTTAAGAAAAAAAGATTTTTCGATGAATAATGAATTTTTACAAGAGTTGTTTTCATTGTTTTAAAATTTTAATTATAATAATTTATATATGTAACCCATAATGAAATTAAACTAATGTAGGATTTTAAAAGATTAAAAAAAAATTATTATAGTGTCGTAATGGAATGTCAAACTCCCTATCGTCTATGTGAACTGACTATATCATTAGCTATATATAGTAAGTAGAGGATATACCTGGGGGTTTGCTTTGGGAATTACTAGCCTGCCACCCGATTCCCTGTCTTTCAGTAGTGTATTTTCTTTTACAATAAACCTCTCTTCTTTCATCTATGCGCATGTTGCTGCTCCTTCACTCGAGTACTAACTCTGTCGTGCGACAGTATCTTGGGGGTAGAATCTCTGACCGATGCCAAATTGGCCGAATTTCGATCCCGGCTTGAAGCAATCGGATGTCTAGCCACACTGATAAGCTGTGATACAACAAAACAGTCTGTCTGTGGGTGACTATATATATAAGAGAGAGAGAGAGAGAAATTAAAAAAATTTGGAATCTCTTCAGATCAAAAGACGGCAAACCCATTACCAATATAATTCGTTTTAAGCTCGGCGCGCATGCGTTAAAATGCATTTTAGCCACGTGACGATAAACTATATTCCACAGTCAAAGCGTGTGAACTAACGTCCATTTTACACTTTGGACTGTCAACAATGATATGTAGGAGTGAGTATTTACTTTTAATGCTCTGATTGGAACTGGTCTTGCATGAAATTGATTGGTTAAATGCTCTATAAATTAGCTATAATTTAAAGTTGCTTAAGTGAATTAATGGCAATTTTCGGCTTCAGTGCCCCTGAATTAAATAAATTATAGCCATCATCCAAGACACAATAGCCAATTAGTTGTGTAGTATGAAGAAAATAAAATACTTTAGAAGTAGCCTCATGGAGTATTTTTACGGTGTCAATATTGAAACGGCGAGATTCAAGCAGAGGGATATTGTAAAAGCAAGGATTTTTACTAGTATTTATATCTGAACCAGAAAAGTATTTAAAATGGAAAAAATGCAGAATCTAGAAAAAGAAAAAGACAAAAAACGAACGAATCAAAATCTAGAAAAAGAACCGAATCAATCTAGAAACGTATCAAAATCTAGAACAAAAACCGAATCAATCTAGAAACGTATCAAAATCTAGAAAAAATACGAATCAAAACCTAAAAAAAAAAACAGTATGGAAATCTAAAAATATATCTAAATCTAGAAAATTATCAAAATCTTGAAAAACATGCGAATCAAAATCTAAGAAAAAGTATGAAAATCTAGAAAAAACGAATCAAAATCTAGAAAAAAAAAACGAATCAAAATCTAGAAAAAATATCAAAATCTGCAAAAAAATATGAAGATTTTCCTTTTGCTAGACTGGCTGCCAACCAAGGCCAAAGAGCCCAGTCTATTCTGCTATTTAACCCATAGCTGGGGGAATGAATAGTTAACACTTTTTGGGGAAAGATGATGGGTTTGTCACGGTTTTGAATTGAGTGCTGTCCTTTTCAAAGACAGGCTTCCATCTAAGGCTAGGGAGCCCGGTCTATTCTGCTATTTAACCAAAGAAAAGCGCTACAATGGCAGTGAAAGCTCCGCCTACGGCCTTTAACATTAACAATAAGGGGTGTGAAGAGACAGGGTTCGACAGAGAAAAATGGAGTTCAGCGCACCGTAACGATGACAGGACAGAAAGGGCAATGACATCCGTGTTGATAAACTGTAAAATATCAATCAATCATCGGTAGAATTACAACTCTGTCCAGCAATGACCTACAGATAGATTAAGATATTGTATAGCAGCTCGACACTCTTTTCTTCGTTCCTAACGACATTTTCCTACCCCTTTATCTGTCTAGTTTCTGAAAGGCATCTTTCGCCGTGATCCAAGGAAATTACAGAGCCCTCTTTGTTCTGGTTCGACTTTAATTTCTTCGTTGACTTCACATCTCAAAGGCCCTGGTTACACTTACTTTTCCCTGATTTTTTTATTAACAGCTCCGAGATGCGATGTCAACACTGACTGCATCTGTGCCACGCAGAGAGGACTGAAAAAAAAAAAGCCCAAGATGCTACCCAGCCATCAGCATTTTTCGAGAACAGTGTCAGAAACACTTCTATGCGTAGATCGGACTATCTAGCGTTCTGCGCACTTGGGGCGCCCGCTGACCTAAGATGATTGGATAATCCTTGGACGGATGAACAATCATTCGTTCTTTTTTGTTTGCTTTTTGTTTGTTTTGTTCGTTTTTTTTTTTTTTTTTTTTTTTCGTCTGTTGTAAAATTACTTTTTTAGGTGTAGATTACATAAGAAATATGGTATTAAGTTAGTTATGTATTTCCCGCCATTTTTTTTTAAACAGAAAAACAAAAACAAACAGATATTGATTTTCTGCAAAGTATCAGATATACCAGTGTGAGGGATCATTTTTGTTTGTTTTTTTTTTTAATTTGCTGAGTGGCTTTTTGAAAATCTCATAATAGCCGAGCCACAAAAGATTCAAAGCGGGCATTTGTGGTTTCTGAGACACCAAAAACTATTTCCTCTTCTCCCACCTGCTATGGGTTAAATAGCAAGGAAGAATGACTTCTCTAGCTTCGAGAGGCAACGAGTCTACAAGAAGAAAAACGTCAAGTACAAAAACCGTGAATGTAACGGGAAACGACTCCACAATTTGCACCCCCACCCAGCTGAAAAAGTTATGATAATTAACAGATTTAAAAAGAAGGAAGCTGTGAAGAGCCATTATTGTCTATGGTCTGAAGGGACATAGCATAAAAAAATGCCAACTTTTGTATACATCTGTTATGTACAGAAGATGTTTTTTTTCTTCCTGCAACTGCAATTTTGTTTTTTCGGTTAAAAACCGTTTTTATTTTTCGTATTTTCTGAGGAGAGGGAAGGAATTTAAAAAATGTTTCATGTCTAGAGGGGTATATATATATATATATATATATATATATGGAAGAGCGATGTTTATCCACGCCGACTACCGACTCTCTCGCACCACCATCATTCTCTCCCCCGCAGCCACCAAAAAAAAAAAAAAATA